ACCAGGCTCGAACCCTGAACGGACCGAATCGTTTTTTTTCTAAAATCTTTTTTTGTTCATTATTGCTTAAAACTCACCAAAATTGCTAAGGGAACCATCGCAAAACATCAGAAAAAATTTCTGCTATAAGAATTTCATAAGAATTCAATAAGAAACTAATAAGAACTCTTATCACTTTCTTATGAAATTCTTATAAGATTCTTACTCGATTCTTATCTGATTCTTACGAAATTCGTGCAACTTTCGTGCCACTTCTTATATACGAATCTGATAAGAATCGGATAAGATTCTTAGGAAAAGCAGACAATAAGCTGGCAAGATCTTTACCAGATTCCCGTCCAATTCTTACATAAGAATTGACGACTAGGGAGAGAACTCTGAATTATAAACACTGATCTATTCATCAGACGGAAAGTAAGCAGCATATTATGGACTTTCTTCAAACACTCACAAGCTTTCTCTTAAAGACTGTACAATATTCTGTATGATCAATCCGTAAAAATCGTTGCCCTACTTTGTCACAATACGAGCCCGAGCCCCAACTGTACCTAAAACGATATCATGTGTCATTTGAGCCAACTTTTCCTTAGAACCAGAGAAAAACTCAATGAGTATTGGATATAAAAATATTCGTGAAAAATATTCTGTATAAATGACATAATGGCTCATTCCTAATAATTAAAGTACGATGTTCAGCGAAGCTATGTGTCATTTATTAATTTGACAAATAGTGCTTTTGTGACTGTTTGGAGACATCGATGTTGTGCTTAACTATGTTTTTTTAAATATACATATTTAGAAACATAGCTGTTCTTGCAGTATTTTTACTTTGAAGACTATCTCATATACGTAAGGCTGTAGGATCAGATGTATTCATTTTTCACAAACGACACAAATGTAGTATAGTAGATATTTAGTCGGATCTGTGCACGAGCAAAAGTGAAAGAATTTTCTTTTGAAGAAACGTGGTTAGTTTCTGTCATAAGTCTAATGTTTCACTACAAGGAGAAGAATCTTCTCTGTGGACGAAATGAATATACGTCCACTTTTCTCTAGTAATACACTGGCTCTACTGTACATACGTAGTTTACACGTATATGATCATAGTTTTGACAAAAGAAAAACATAGAAAATTTTTCTACAACAAAGAAGTGTAGAGACATACATAGAATAAAATATAGTCTATAGATTAGATAAATAGTTGCTGTGACTTTCGATTTCTTCTTGCAGATCTTGACTTGTGAATTATTAAAAAAATTGTTTTTGAGAAAAAGAATGTCGTTCAATTTGATTGTCATATTTATAACGATTATTTATGCTGTTTTATTGCGATTGCTCGGTCAGTAAATTTACTTGTTTTTGTGATCGTATGCGCTACGTGTTGTATTATTTGTTTCTTACAGATGCTTTTGTGAGTATCGTAGAAGACACTCACAGTATTTTCAGATTAATTTTAATTTTTACAATCATTGGATGTGGGTGGATCATCATTCAGTGGATCGAGAACGCCCATGTAGCGAATTGGTATGAAGAACTTCAAGTTATAGGAGGTATTGCGGATGAAGAATATATTCGGGATGGAGATCGTCAAGTTGAAGAAGGTATTCGGGATGAAGATCGTCCCCAGGCCGTGCAAAATGAGATAAAAATTAGCCATGAATGACTCATTTATGTGCCATATATGGCTCATTTTTAAATCATATCTCTCCCATATTTATCTCATTTATTGTATCATAATGTAGTCATAATTATGTCATTTTTTTATGGGATAAATATCA